AGAGAGAGAGAGAGAGAGAGAGAGAGAGAGAGAGAGAGAGAGAGAGATATTCTGACTTAGATTCACCCTATTAAATACTCATATTTTTTATTAAAAATGCCTACATGATATTTAAAATACCAATGTCTAGCCGGGCGGTGGTGGCGCACGCCTTTAATCCCAGCACTTGGGAGGCAGAGGCAGGCGGATTTCTGAGTTTGAGACCAGCCTGGTCTACAGAGTGAGTTCCAGGACAACCAGGGCTACACAGAGAAACCCTTCTCAAAAAACCAAAAAAGAAAAAAAAAATACCAATGTCTAGAGTCACACAATATAGACATTTCATTTCTGTCAACTGCAGACAACATTGATGGTAGCCCTCTATGATTATGGTAAAACTGTTTTCTCCGGGTTGGACATTCCCATCTTGAATCAGAGCAGCTGTTGATCACCCGCAAGGAGCCTCTCAGAATCAGGTCTATTTGCATTCCTGCAGGGAAGACTGAGGAAAGCTCGCGTAGGCCCTCTCTGACACTGCCTTAGTAGTGAATGATTACTGGGAAGAGGGCTTTCTGGCATTGTAGGTTGCCTTTGACTCACCCATGGCCCTGTAAGTAACCCCAGCAAGCTCAGTGGTTCACCAAGCTGGAGCTCAGTGGGCTCCTTTTTTTGTCTACCAACGTCTTCTCTCCTAGGTAACAAGATTTTCTTTTTCTTGCCCCAGGAAACATCACACAAAGAAGCTGAAAATTCCTATTGCCTAATGACAACGTGGCCAGGACAGCATCTCAGCATAATGCGTTCCTCACGTGTTTGTGGTAGTGGTCTCCGGTGTAAACAAGGCTGCCCTTCAGCTAGTCATAGAGAACACACAGTACTGTACAGTATATAGTACTTGATAATTAAAATAAATGACTGTATATTTACTATGATTGTTTTAGAGTGTAATTTTTTAAAGATATTTTACTGTGTGTCTTTCTACTGTTTGCTTCCTATTAATGTAATAAAACACTAACCAAAACCAACCTGGGAAGGAAAGGGTTTATTACAGTTCACAGTCCATGATGAAAAGAAGTCAAGGTTGGAACTGAAGCAGAGACCATTTCTCTTCTGGGAAAACTTGTGTCTGTAAGTTAAAGTTGTAATAATTCACACACAAGAAATTTGAAAATACTTAGGAGTTTAGAGCATACTTCTCAGTCATAATGGAAGTCGTTTGGAAAATATTCAGAGAATAGTGGAATAATCCAATGTTGGCCTCCAGTTCTACACTGGCTAGCTCTCGAGACCTTGCTCAGTCTTCTTTCTTAAATAACCCAGAACCACCTGGGGGTGTGGGGGGGAGGTGTCCCTGCCTACAGTGGGGCTAGGCCCTTCATATCAACTATTAATTAACATAACAATACCCCACAGACTTGCCTACAGCCCAATATGATGGCGAAACACCTTCTCAGTTAAGGTTCCCTCTTCCCAAATGAATCTAGTTTTTGTCAAGAGGACAAAAACTAACCAGCACGCTGTGTGACTGCATGCCCTGCATGCTGTGTAACTGCATGCCATGCCACACTGCAGCAGCCCACACATCTGTTCTTCCATCTGGGTTCGTGTAAGAACACTCACTGGTGTTCACACAGTGGCCAAACCACCAGGATGCGGTTCTCATATGGTGTCACTCTTGCTCTGTTTATAGCATCCTGCCACCTGGATCCCTCCTGACAGAAGTGTTGAGTTAAATGGTCTGATGAGGGGCACAGTTTGTTAGAAAGGGCTTGGAGAACTGTTACACTCAGACAGCATGTAATCTAACCTCATCTTCTGGCTCTGTCTTGTCTCCTCACTCAGGCTTGTTTGACTCCCAGTTAAGACAGTCATAGGAAACAACTTTAACACTAGGGGGAAAAAAACCCAAAAACTTCTGTTCATGGTGCCTAAGTACTTCCTTCCCAACCCTCTTGATACTGGTAGCTGCCAACTCTTAAGCCATTATGCAAAAACACCATGCTAAGGACATTACAGTCTCAGGACCTCCTGTCTTCCACAGAAGTGTTCTAAGATGTTTGAGAGTAGAAAATAATCTTTCTGCCCAACTATCCCTATTCCTGATTTCCCTGATTTCCTAGGCCCCAGCACAAAAGCAGCAACAGGACACCACATGAGCTGTGCACTAAAGGGGCCCCAGGGATCCAAACAGAAACCGGCACTGACAAATTTTCAGTGTCCTTATCAATAAAGCCAGATAAGTCTGAGTGGTAGCAGAAATTCAGATAAGCAAAGCCTCTCTAAAGGACTGAAACTGAGGGAGAAAGACCGCAGACTCTACAGAGAGAGGGAGAACAGAGGTTAGCATTAAGGAGTCTGAAAATAACCTTCTTAGCAGGCAAGGTGGCAAATACCTTTAATCCCAGCACTCAGTAGGCAGAGGCAGGTGGATCTCTGAGTTGGAGGCCAACCTGTTCTATAGAGAGAGTCCCAAGACAGTCAGGGCTACACAGAGAAACATTGTCTCAGAAAAAAAAATAAACATAAAATAAGAGATAGATAGATAAATAAAGAAAAAGAAAAAGAAACATCTTTTTTTTCTTTTTTGATTATTTGTTTTTCGAGACAGGGTTTCTCTGTGTAGCTCTGGCTGTCCTGGAATTCATTCTGTAGACTAGGCTGGCCTCAAACTCAGAAATCCGCCTGCCTCTGCCTCCCAAGTGCTGGGATTAAAGGCGTGAGCCACCACTGCCCGGCAAGAAACATCTTCTTAAGCAGAGATAGACAGCAGCAATTGCAACTAATTCAGAAGTTGTTGACAAAACTCAAATTCTTTGCAGAGCCATGGATTGTGTTTGGTGTCAATTTTTGCTGTGAATCAAGGTCATTTGATTGATTGGCTGATTGAAGAACAGGGTCTCATGTATCCCAGGATAGCCTGACACTCACTGTTTCAAGGAT